AAAGAGTGTGTGGAGGAGAGCAGGCATTAGCCAACTTCTGTTAATTAAGTAACACCAACAACTAGAGAAGACAGGAGATGTTTTCACTGTGTTGATTGGAAATGGATTTGATCATTGAGCTACCATGGCTGTGAAATTTTCATCTCTGGAGGAATGACTGCTTGGGAATGATTTAAATCCTGCTGGGACACAGAGAAGGATTAGTCCCTTTTCTCTCCAGGTTTTTACCCCTTTGGCTTGTCTTCCAGGGATTTAAAATATAGGCACCCCATCCAGTAGCACACAATGATTAATTAATGTAACAGAAGCAGGGCAGCAAAAAGCAACCATTTACAAATGTTACCCTGACTTTTCTTTTCAAATTTCAGCCTTTCTGTTCCAGATCTGACACCCAATATTGGCCTTTTCTGGTACTTCTTTGCAGAGATGTTTGAACACTTCAGTCTTTTCTTTGTATGCGTGTTTCAGATCAATGTGTTCTTCTACACCATTCCCTTGGCAATAAAGCTAAAGTAAGTATGCCCTATCCTCCTCATTTCCCAAAGTTTCAGTCTTTATTCCTCTTAAACAGAGTGGGCTGGGCACTGCAACAGATGTGTTACAGGCATCGAAAGAGGGAGCAGAAATTTAGGCTATGGAGGTGCCTGCTCCCTATCCGCATAAGCCAGCATAGTGAGAAAGCAAGAACTCTGGGCTGGAACTTCACGTTCTTCATTGTCAGAAAAAAAGTGAAAACTTGGGGACGTTCCTAGTGGACTGCGCTGACAGTGTTACCCTTCTTTCTGGTAAAAACACCCATTAACAGGCCTGGATTCTCAGTGAGCTTTTCCTGTTGACATGGAATGGATACAGATGTCGTGACATACCAGCAGGATAACTATGGGCTTCTCCAAAGAACCTTCAGAGAGGAGATGCTGATTGCTTTTCGGTGAATAAGACAGAGCAGGGGGAGAGCAGCCAAGATGGCCAACTGCATGAATGTCTGTTGAGTTGGGGCACGGAGTTTCTGTGTGGGGGCAGCGAGCCCATGTGCATCCCCTTGTACTGCTGCTCTGCAGGGCAGCTCTGTCTGCCCCACCCACCACTTGTAGGCTTGTTTGGAGAGAACAGGGTGTGAGAGCCTCTGTGGGCCTATCCCACAGTACATTTGTGCCCTTGCTGATGTTTATTTCCAGTTTCCAGAGACCCTACTGCGTACGCTTACCCTTTGTGTCTCATCCCTTCTAGGGAACACCCTGTGTTCTTCATGTTTGTCCAGATCGCGATCATTTCTATCTTCAAATCCTACCCCACTGTGGGAGACATTGCACTGTACATGGCCTTCCTTCCAGTCTGGAGCCACCTTTACAGATGTAAGTTCTTTGTGTTTGATTGTTCCTTATCTGGAATGGGAAAGGGCCTGTCCAATAGTTGTCACCACTAAACCAAACTGGGCCCATGTCTGCAGGCTCTTGTGGCCTCCTTGGGGTGTCTGAAAGGAGGAGGCTGGATTTTTCGGGTGACACAGTCTCTAATGTGTCTTTAGGTCTAGGTTTGAAATTGGTCAAGGAAGGAACTTGTACCTTATCTTCCCCCCCCCCCCCAAGTTGTTCTGAAAATTAACTTTTTTGTAAGACTCTTTTACAGTCCTGCACAAGGGATGTGGCTTATTTGCAGTACATCCATCCTTCAAATGCTTCAATCCCATTTAAGGCTGTGTAATTTGAACACTGCTGCTGCAGCTGGTGAGGCCCCAGCCTTAAAATCCTGCACCTTGCAGTGGTTCTTTGTTTTGCATCTGCTTCTTTTCTTAGAGTGAAACTGAATTGCTCCCAGCAATTGCTCAGTCTCTTAAATGCTTCATAAAGACCCTCTTTAGCTCTTTAAATCACCAGAGAGCTTCCTGGTGATTTTCAGACTCAGTCTCTAGAACCTGCTACACTGGGGAGATTGGGAAGCGCTGGGGAAGCATTTTTCCTGGTGTTTCTTGCTTAAACCAACTGCTTTGGCCAACACTTCCAGGTTGCTGGGGCCTTTTACTGCAGTCTTCTCTAGCCCAGGCCAAGTGCGTTTATGGCCAGCTAGCCTGACTGATGCCAGGAGACACGAGAGACCATCAGCTTTATTAGTTCCAGACGAAGGAAAGCTTAGGCCAAAGCAGCTGTGATAAAACAGAGCAGGAAGGGCCAGGCTAGCCCTGAGTATGTTGCAGCCGTAGCAGGCGCTGCACTTCTGAGAAATCCTGATTCAGCCTATTCCGGTTGCATGTTCCAGGCATGCAGATGAGGGGATTATGGCCAGCAAGGGCAACAGTCGTCTGTCACGTGCTTCCACCCCACAGCGGGCAAATAGACCTACTGAACAAGAAGTTTAAAAAGAGGTGTATGTGAAAGGTTTGGATGTGACAATGCTCAGAAAATGTCAGATAGCTCCCTTCAGCTGCAGAATGATCGGGGGTCTTTCAGCTACCTTCAGGGACATTGACTGAGCTGGAGCCAAGCATAGCCAGGTGCCGGGATGATTTATAATTTTGCTGCCAAAGGACAGGCATAAACAGTTCACAGAAACAAAATCCCTTCTGGCCTAGTAGTTCCTAGCTCTCTTAGACAAAGTTGTGCTTGGGTTTTGTCCATCTGACGCATACTCACACAGACTGATGGATCCTGGCCACACCTCCACCTCCCGAGGTCATGCATTTGGCAACGCATTTGGCCTTTATGAGTTTCCTCCTATGGCGCTTTCGTTTCCTGACCACCTCCCGAAAAAGTATCCCTTTTCCTATGGCCCGCAGGTTCATTTTGTTAACCTTGTCGTCAGCTTGATGAGGCTCGGGAGTGGCGTGCTCTGCTCTCTGGATCGTGATGCTGGTGGAAGGGTCCTTCTCAAAACTGCTAGTTTCTGTAGCATAGGCACCAAAAAGCCAAAGTCTTCCGAGGAAGAGTGTTTGGAAGCAGGGCCTAGAAGGAAAGAGCTACAAGTGAGGATTTCAAGCAGAGGCAGAAGTATTTATTTTAAAGGGAAATATGGTGGATTTCTTATAAAAGCTAGCCAAGAAATTATTAAAGCAAACTGTGAAAGATCCCTGGAGAGAAGTGTGCATTGGCGAGTGCCCCTTTCCCACTGCACATACCCTAAATACCATTGCTGGTTGCGTGCACATGGCTGCTCAATAATGCATCATTTTAACAGCTTGGTTTTCTTTTGCAGTCCTCCGGAACATCTTCATCCTGTCCTGTGTGCTCATTGTGTGCTCCCTCCTGTTCCCCGTTCTGTGGCATCTGTGGATTTATGCAGGAAGTGCCAACTCCAATTTTTACTATGCCATCACGTTGACTTTCAACATAGGGCAGGTCAGTAGAGCAAGGCAAACAAGGCTGCACTTTGGATAGGTCACGGGATGGGGTGTCCCGTCAGCAGCAGTGCATTCTGCAGGATGTGTCTGGCTCTTTGCATCCTGCGTAGTCCTGCACAGCAGCTTCCTGCTGCCCCTTGCTCCAGCTGAAATCTGCCTAGTCCTCACCTTCCGGCACACTAATGAGGAGTTCCTGTAGCCTTTGAGCTGTAGCTTAACAATCCAGCTAGACTGTACAGCATGTTACATGGTCTGTTCCTTGATGGCAGAGGAGAAGCATCTCAGTATGGCAGGGCTAAGAGCATATGTGAATGGAGAAGGGAAGCTAAGAGGGGAAATGGAAAAAAATGTGGGGCAGCAGCAGTGGGGCCAGAAAACAGGCAAATGAGAACTGCCCAACGGGGACATGGCACCAATTTTTCTGACCGTTACACCTCACTGAAAGGTAGGGTGGTGGGCATGTGCGGGGTTCCCATCTTGCCAGGGCTTGCTCTCCCTGCTTCTCTCAGGGCTGTTCTAGACACATGACATTCACTAGCCTTAGGGAAAGCAGAGCTTAGCACCCCTGAGGGATGGGATCCAATCCACGCAGTTGCTGCAGCCTTCTCTAAGTCTTTCCTCTTGTCTGTGCTATTTCTTTTGTCCCTAAGCCCTGGGGACAGTTTCACATGTGGGTGAACAGAGCATTCACTTCATGTTAAAGTTGCCTTTACTTTGAATGTGCCTCAGCCATTTATGTTTGTCTGCTTCTCCTAAAAATAGAGGAGCAGTTTTGCCAGAGGCTGAAAATCACCTGCTTGTGCATCCCTCGCCCCCTTGATAAATGGGGACAAATGCCCGTTCTGTAAAAGCAGAGACTCTGTGCAGTGAGCAGGGTGAGAGGGAGTACAGAGATACTACTACTTTGAAAAGAACAGTAAAAGCTTAATTAGAGATGGCAGGTGTTGATATTTCTAAGAGGATTTTATTTCCTACCTGAGGAAATCGTAGCAGGTCCTGCAAGGGCTTGTGCTCTGTGTAAATGCAGACAGAGCAAAAATCTGCTTTCTGGTTTCCTTGTGAGAAGGAACTAGCCCTCATCCCCTCTAGCCTCAGCTCTTTCTTTTCCCATTAAGACATCTGCAGAGGAGTTTAGTATCAACCATATTGATCTAGCAGGTCAGTAGTCAGCCACGGTGCTCAGCAAAACAAGCAGACAGAGTGAGCATGGCTGTTTTCAGTTTCCCGGGGCACCTCTTCCCTTCTCTCTCTATTCTCCTTTGCACTTTCTCCTCGGAGCTCAGCAGTCT